TATTTTGGTAACGTTAATACTCGAAAAAACCCAAATAACTTTGAGTGAAAACATGACGAGGTTATAAAAAAATTGCACTTAGAGAACAGAGCACTCCGCACTGTTCTCCTGCGAGGAACCCTTTGGGTCATTCAAAAAAAAGAAAAAAAGTTTTGGCCACCTTTCAAATGCTTGGCAACACTGCACTTAGGCTAACCTTGCTCCATTTGTCCTGGGTGGAATTAAAGTAAGATCACCCTGGCATACGTAACCTAACATCAGGTCCCACCTCAGCTGAGTCATATCCATCCTTTTAGGTTTTTTTTTTTAAAGTCCCGCAAGTCTGCAGGGAGCCTTATCGTAGTATTCACCAATGACTAAGATGCACTAAAAAGTAAAGATCACATTAAACTTTTTTTTTTTAAAGAATTGCAGGAATTTGACATGACCTTGCTAACATGAAAAGCATGGGTATTCAGAGATGGGGCATCAGGTAGCATTAGCCCCCCTCAAATTTGATTTTCTATGATGATCAGTGCCACTAGATGTTAGTACAGATAGGACCACTGGTAGACATAACTCAGTGCATTTACTCAAGTACTTTAGTGAAGTACAGCAGTGGAAGGAAGGGCATATAGCGAAAAAACTGTGCCAAATAAAATATATGGATCACTGCATTGTGGCGACACCTTTGGAAATAAGGTAGCAGCATTAAGTATGTCTAATGCACTTAAGTACTTCTAAAGTAGGTTTTACATGTATTCTAAAATATCTGTCTCCTTAATATGAAGCTGTATTTTTGAATCTACCAGCAGTAACTAACATTAGCCTCCAGCTGCAGATGATTTTAATCTTGCATGAAAGTCTGCATGAGTACTTTCACTTGAAGTGCATTAAGTACATTATGATGATAAAAGTTTTGCACTTTCACCTAAGCAGGATGATACATTTTAAACACCCTGCCCTGTTCTTGGATGACAGAAATCTACTGGAAGAATTTCATCCACTTTTGCATAACTGTAAATAATGGATAATGATGCTGCTACAACAAACAGAAAAAGTTCAACTTGTTAAATGTGTTGCAAGACGAGGAAACTTCCAGAACACTGCCGCCTGGAAAAAGTTAAGTTGTTGGATTTTTTTTTAAATTTAATTTAATTTTTTTTACAAAACTCTCTGCTTCAAAAGTCGAGCGCTCCCAAAGCAGCGCGCAGTGATTTAACCCCCCACCTTTACCACACACGGATCTCTCTAAGCACAACTGTAACATCCAGATCTCAGCAGCTGGCTGACTTTGACAGTTTCGCTGTCTCGTTGTAGATCTTACCTGATGGAGGTGGTGACACGGACAGGCGCCCCGGGAGTGGTTCAGTGCGTGGGGTCGCAACGGGGACACACCACTGTCGCATGGCTCAGCGAAGTTCAGCTCGGCTGGACCTCTGAGGAGTCACACAGGAGACTTGCTGCAGTGTGTTGCGGTTAAATCGCCTCTATTAGCATCTTGCCAAACCTGCAACAACAGATCACTCCCCTAGCAGCCTGTGCTGGCTAAGCTAGCGCCGTCAACTCCAGTTGGTTCCCCTGAGCACCAACCTCCCATCAACTGCTGCTTAGCTGTCCTGTTAGCCAGAACGAGACTAGAAAGCGGAAGCGAGGCTTGCAACCTTCAAAGTAAGACAAACTGGAAGCTCGATAACAATAACCATTTTTCACATTATACACAGACAGAATTACACTGAATTCGGAAGCGTATAGCTATTTTATAGCTATTTTACAAAATGAGTCTATTTTCCACCTCTCTTTCTATCTGGGGCTATTTCCATTTATGTCTCAACGTAATGTTAGGTTTTTACACTTAACTCAGCTGTAAAACGACAGAGTAGTAAACATAAATAAATAAATAAATAAATAAAGTAAAATACTTTTCACATGCCATGTCTTTTCTCAAACTCCATTATCCACTTATACACAGAGAAATACAAAGATGAATGTGAAACGCTTAGAAAGTTAACTGTATTCACCTTTTGTGACCCATTTACTGAAATGACAACTATTATTTTTGCTCCAATTATGAGCGCAAATTACACTTTTATTTTGAAAAACTCGGGAAACGATGCTACTTACTCTGGTTACCTTGATAAAACGGTCTGTCTTGTCTCGGCTAACAACTTACCCAAAACTTGCACTTTAAGGGCAATATGAGCAATGTTTCAAACAAGCAACCGTTTACGAAAAAAATCACCGTTCTAGAGTGCTACAGCCAAAAATTATATGTGTTAAGTCGAAGGGCTGGGACCACCGCCAGCTGCTAACGGGTTAGCTCGCCTGCTAGCTAAGTTAGCTGGTGGCTAGCAGCGGATTGTCCCGCCGCGGAGCACCTCTCTTACCTCCCGTTGCTGACGAGAGACAGCTGCAGCCGGCTGGTCGGACAGGGCAGATAATTAAAAGTGGCAAAAAAAAAGTAGCGGTCCACTCAACTCCGCTATAGTAAATAAGTCCTGGGTTGAAGGCGGACGGTTAAGTTAACGAATAGAGGGTGAAGGATGCGGGGTCATGTTGTCTTTCGCTATGCAGTGGGGAAATAGTATATGCAAACGAGAGGAGTCTGTCTCAATTTGTGACCCCTCACCCGACAGTACCGTGAAGGCAGCAAGAATTATCATTGTGATTTCCGGTTGTACAGTGCATGCTAGAAAACGTCTGCCCTAAATTCAAGCACGGCTGCAGGACGACATGAAGCCAAAAGTAACATTTTAACTAAAGTGTCTGAAAATGTAACGATGCTCGTGCGTACATCTCGCTCAGGCGGCTTTAGCGGCATTTAATGCCCATGATGAAAACATTTCTTCTTTTATTTTGGACAAGTACTTAGGAAATATGTCACTAAATCGGTTTTCCTTGACGCATCACCGCCCAATACATAAGTGGGTCTGTATGCAGACTGTAATAAGCTTCCTCGCAAGCGTTTGCAGAAGAAGCCATATGAACAGGAGGTAAACAACAATTATAATGAGTGGATAAAACGAGAGCGTGGCTGTTCTTGGCTTGGAATACCATGAAATGTACTTAACCATAATATGTATTTGCAAGGAGCATTTACAGCTTTGTGAGGTTGTGTTTCGCAAAGCAGTCAGTGGGAGCCTGTATAGAAAATCAGAAAAATCTATAAAAATTAAATGCAAATATGGACAGAAAAAATTGGGGACAATTTTTTGGTTCTTGGGCATCACCCAGTAGTTTAATACAGATGGTATGGCTTTAAAAGGTGACTGTGCACAAACGTTTGAAAATGATTCTGAATTAACTATTTTTGCATAATGTTGGAAAAAGTATTTAACTCTTGTTTCAAGTAAGAATCATAATACTACAATATGAAGGTACGTGTTTCCAAGTCCGGCAGTCAAACTCCTTCAGAATCTTTTTTAAATATGGAAATCTTTTTTTTTATTGCAGCTATACCAAAAGCCTACAAAATATATCCTCTCATTCAGTGCAAAGAAAGAAATTGATAAAACTTTATTTTATTTACAGTATAAAACTGTATAGATAGATAGATAGATAGATAGATGTATATGTATGTAGTTATTGATTGATTACTTGTAGTAAAAAAAAGCATTAGTGTTAAAAGAGATCCATTATCACTCAGGGCATCTACATGAAACGTGTCATTATAATTCATAATAATTAATTAGAATTATAAATTAGAATGACTAAAAACCTATAATGTCATAATATACATTATGTTAGTGTAACTATTAATCCACAAATAATAATAATGAATAATAATGAGTCAGGTCTTCCTGGGCCTCTCTGTCTGTGTAGGCTGTAGACATAAACACCTTCCTATAGCGTTGTTGCGTCTTTGTACATCAGTTCTCTCCAAGAGTGAATATCAACTGCTGATCTAATCTAATACAGCTGGATTTCATTGTCCAGCTTCACGCAGAAACGTACAATGTCATAACCATATTATACAGTCTGTGGTCTAAACCCAAAGGATTACTTGACTCTGGCTGATGTGGTTCTCTATATCCACTCTAAAGTTATTGTGCACTGTAGAGCTGTGGAGCCAGCCAGCAGACCGCCTTAATAGCAAGGGTTGATATACAAAAAGGTTGTTCATCCAGGACCAGCTTCATAGGTTATAAAAATAAGAATAAGGTTATTGTAACTGTGTTGCGTTTTGTCCAATCTGACAAGTTTTGTCTTGTGATTGTAACAGATTTTGCAAAAATAAAATAAAATAAAATGATTTCACAGAGGTGCTGTGTCTTTATCTTTATAAAGGTTGTTTTTCCCCTTTCTATTATGGTAAATGGTCTGTATTTGTATAGCGCTTTTACTTGGTCCTAAGGACCCCAAAGCGCTTTACACTATACACAATCATCCACCCATTCACACACACATTCACACACTGGTAATGGCAAGCTACATTGTAGCCACAGCCACCCTGGGGCGCACTGACAGAGGCGAGGCTGCCGGACACTTGCGCCACCGGGCCCTCTGACCACCACCAGAAGGCAATGGGTGAAGTGTCTTGCCCAAATTATAATTTAGCTAAAGAGTGAATCAATATTATATTTTATTATAACCTCTGTTTTCTTTGTATTTTTGCGGGGTCTTTACCTTCCTTATTTATTCTAAGTCAGGCTAACTGGCTTTCTTTGAATGTAAGACTTGTAGCGTCCAGGATGGTGCAGAGCTTGTGTGAATTATTATTTAGCAGTCTCTCTCTCTGTTAGTCAAGGTGTGTGTGTGTTTTATCACCAGTTACAGAAGTGACTCTAGCTGAAGAATGGGTCTATGTTTGCTTTGTTCTGTGTACCTCCCTCTTTTTCTGGCTGTGTCAAGAAGGCACAGGCAGGTATTAAGAAACATATTAAAGCACCTTCATGCTTGACATGCCCAGTTCAGAGTGCGTCCAAGCGAGCTATACCTCAGCAGTGGGTCCCACATTTTGGGAGGTTTTCTTTAGTGCTCTGTTTCTACAATTGGGTTCAACTAACATCTGAAACAACACCATGAACTGGATCTTCTTGGAGGGTCTCCTCAGTGGGACTAACAAGTATGCCACAAGGTTTGGTCGAATCTGGCTTGCCATTGTCTTCATCTTCAGGCTCTTGGTCTTCTTGGTGGCTTGTGAAAAGGTCTGGGGCGACGAACAAAAGGACTTTGATTGCAACACCCGCCAGCCTGGTTGTCAAAATGTCTGCTATGACCACTACTTCCCCATCTCTTACACCCGACTCTGGGCTCTCCAGCTGATCTTTGTGACTTGTCCATCCCTTCTCGTGACTCTCCACGTTTCCTACAGAAAAGACCGGGAGCGTAAGCACCGGCTAAAGTATGGAGAAGACTGCACACCTCTGTATGATAACACAGGAAAGAAACGAGGGGGTCTCTGGTGGACCTACTTTTTCAGCCTGCTGTTCAAGATAACTGTGGATGGCGTGTTTGTCTTCCTGCTGTTTTACCTCTACGAAGCTGCCTTCTTTCCTCCACTGGTGAAATGCAGAGAAGAGCCATGTCCCAATGTGGTGGACTGCTACATTGCGAGGTAAGGGATACCTTTAAGGTTCTAAATGGTCAAAAAATTCAAACGCTCAGTCATACATTATGTTTTATCTCTTACACTCTGTTTTCCAGGCCAACGGAAAAGAAGATATTTACTGTCTTTATGGTGGTGACCAGCTTTGTGTGCATTTTCCTAACTCTTTGTGAGGTGTTATATCTGTGTGGGAAGAGGTTCGGGGAATGCTGCAAAAAAGGACCTCGCTCCATGAGAGACAACTCCTTCATGATGACCAGAGTTCCTCTGAGTGGTAATGAAAACTCAGCCTACAAAGAACCGGTTCTGGAGAAGAGTGTGACCAATGGAGAACCGGGCCAGAAGGGTTCAGCCCCGCCCTACACCATAGCCTGAGCTCATTATGTCCTGAGAGACATAATGAATTTTTAAATAGCAGAATCAGAATCATCAGCAAATGCTTACAAACAAATGATGTTGTTTATTTTGAAACCAATTTTACATTTAAACTATTTTATGTTTTTGTTCCCCAACATTGATGTGTTGAGCATGTATGTACTGCTATTTCAATAAACGTTTAATCCGATACTATCAAAATGATTTTTTATGGATTTATATGACCATATGTCAAGACTATCTCTCCACTCTACATATTCCACATGTTCAGCAATGTACACAGACCAAAAATATAAACGCAACACTTTTGTTTTTGCTCCCATTCTTCATAAGCTGAGCTCTAATATCTGAAACTTTTTCTACATACACAAAGGACCCATTACTATCAAATATTGTTCACAAATCTGTCTAAATCTGTGTTAGTGAGCACGTCTCCTTTGCCAAGATTATCCTCCCCACCTTGCAGGTGGGAAGGATAATCACTAATAGAGCCAGACTGCTACTACCATTCCATAAGATCTTTTAAAGTAGTCAGCAAAACCGCAATGTGATGTATCCACATGACAACTTCATGTGGTAAGTGAAGGGAGTAGCATTAAAAACAAACACTACTCCTACACTAGTTTCGCACCACCTCAGTAAAAACTACATTTGGCATTCCTTCTACGAGCGTCATATCAAAGAACAGATTTGTACTGAGTGTACTTATAAGGTGGTGACTGCTGCACTTCCTAACCTAACCAATCAACAAATGCATATAGCGATATCAACTCTCCATATCTCAGGTGCATTTTAGAGTTGTTGCTCAAACAAATGTTAGGTGGTAGCCTTGTTGACTAAGCACCTACCCAAGGACATATCTTCACATCTCAACTGCCTCATGAGACTGATAAGAAACATAAGAAACTCAAATCACAGTGGACAAATACAATTTAAAATGTGCCTTATTAAGGCTAAATGGTAGCGTATCACTACGTATGTGTATTTTGTCATTTTTTTGCTGCATTCATAACTTTAAGGTAGTATATTGTCCAGCACTCCGATTAGCTGGGTAGATGCCAGAAGTGGACACACCTCTAGATTATGACCAAGCCGTCCAGAGGTTGAACCAATGCTACCTGTTTAACTTATTTTTTTAGGAAGTTTATTTCCCAGACTGGACGCATGAAAGACTGCATGCAAGAACAGAAGTCATAAGGTAAGTTTCTTTTAGATACAGTCTCACATTAGTTATTTTTCATTTTAAAACTTTATTTAGAAAAAGAAATCCTTAAGTTTAATGGAAGAACTAAACGTGGAACACAGTTGAGGCAAGCTTCAGCTTAAACTCTTCTAAAGGTAGCCGAGGTAGAGAATCAAGTATTTTTTGTGCTGTCGAGGGATTTTATGTTTTAAACCAGTGAGCATTTCATTAATTATTAATGGCATATTTCTTTAAAAGTGTCAAATTTTGAACATAAGTGAAAACATGCTGTGAGAAGTGGGAGAGCTTTAGGTTTCAGAGCTGCCGAGCAAAAGTTTGATCAGAAATGGGAACATCTATTTGAAAGACCCACTGTTGGGAACAGATTTTCTCTGGATGATTGCATAACTTTGCCTTTATGTTTTCCTTTTTTTTTCTCTGCCTCCCCAAATATTCACAGCTTAAAAGAAACGTATCGAAGCCTGAACTCATGGATTGGAAAGTTCTTCAGGGTTTTCTCAGCGGAGTCAACAAGTACTCCACTGCCTTCGGAAGGATCTGGTTATCGGTGGTCTTTGTTTTCCGGGTGCTGATCTTTGTGGTGGCTGCTGAGCGAGTCTGGAGCGACGAGCAGGGGCACTTCGACTGCAACACCCGTCAGCCTGGTTGCACCAACATCTGCTATAATCACTTCTTCCCCATCTCCCACATTCGCCTTTGGGCCCTCCAACTTGTTTTCATCACTTGCCCTTCATTCATGGTGGTGCTCCACGTAGCTTACCGGGAAGAACGGGAACGCAAGTACCGAGCCAAGCACGGCGAGAACACTCGGCTCTACGACAACCCGGGACAAAAGCATGGCGGCCTGTGGTGGACGTACCTGATGAGCCTCTTCATCAAAACTGGTTTCGAGATCACTTTTCTCTACTTGCTCCACTACATCTACGATAGCTTTAAGCTGCCCAGGAAGGTTCAATGCGATGTCAGCCCCTGTCCAAATCTGGTCGACTGCTACGTGTCCCGACCCACTGAGAAAACCGTTTTTTCCTACTTCATGGTGGGGGCATCCGTCCTGTGTGTGGTGCTCAACATTTGTGAGATATTCTACATGATTGCCACCAGAGTGGTGAATCGAAAACAACACGGCAGCATCAGAATTGCATCGAGAAAGGTCCGCCCTGAAGTGAACTGCGACGCCTGCAAGTCCTCTCACGCTGAATAGCTGAAGACCCTTTTGGGAAACTAAAAATCAAGAAATCTTCTCACGCCCCTTATTAATCACCTATTTTTATGCATTAAATGTTAAGTAGTTTCACCTTTGGCTTTCAAATCTTTGATATGGTGTTCTGCACATGTGAAGATCCCTTCCTAATATCATTCAAATGTAAGATTATCCACTTGACATCTGACACCTCATATCAGCTTCAACTGAACTTAAGTGTGTGCGTGTTTTGTTAACCTTCAGAAGGGATCTCTCCACGGCCCTAATGGACACGATGATAATCTAGACCTCTGAGTGTTGTTAAAAAGCACCCATAAGGTGAACGCATTCAGGTTTATTGTATTTACATTTATAAAGTTTCCAAAATGTAATTTAATGTAAATGTTCTAATTCCCTGTTATGATCTTACAAATAAATGTTTAATGAAATATCAAGAACTGATTTTCACATTATGGGCTGAACATTCACAGATTTGTGACTACAGACAGTACAACACTGAGCAAAAGTGACTATTAATTTGTTTGACTTAGTCGCTCAAAAGGACAAAAATAAACATTACAACTTGTATATATTTGTAAAAATCTGTAAAATGGTCATTCAGATTCATATTTCTTCAATAGCGTCACTGATCCACTTGGTGGCAGTCAAACCTTATTGGCATATGAAGGGACAGAACCCATCAGTGATATCCCCAGAGTTCCGTTGTTTTGTGACTGTTTACTATTTGGGCTTCTTTAAAAGCTTATTTTGCTGTAGTTGCTACACATTCTTTTACTCTTGTGCAGCTTACTTATTTATTCAAACCAGCCACATATATTGAAGTTTGGACTTTTTTTTTTTAATGGCAACTGTCAAACTGTCAAACTGTCAAAAGTTGCATCACAATAATTCAAATATTTTTACATTTAAAAAGAAATCTATAAGCAGTGCCCTCGTCTGCATCAAGGTTAGAGAATATTATATATATAATTATTGAATTTACTTTCAAAATAAAAGCATGTATTTAAAACAATTTATTCAGGGGAGAAAATTATTTCACAGACATGATCCCAATTTATTTTTCCACACAAGAAAGAATCAGTTTAAAGTATTAAATTCCTCATTTCTTTTCATAATAACAAAATAGTTTTGAAAGCTTATCGACAGTTTTGAAAACTCATCAAGTATGCTCCACTTTCAGGGACACGCTATTGATCATTGTTTTATTTTGAAAAGCGTCGTGCAGAAGTGTCAGAGACTGTGACTTTCTGTCCGACGGGATTGTGGAGATCACTTTGAAGAAGAAGCGAGAGCACGCTGACACCGTCCCACCGCAGGACAGCCTGTCTTTTGAATTAAAATAATTTAAAACAAACAAACAAACAAAAAAACCTACCGAATGGTGACCTGACAGAGATGGGCGACACAGGTAACAAACAGGAGTGTGGGGGTTTGGGGATTTAATCGCCTGTAAAGTGCTGTCAGTGTTCCAGACTTCAGTGTTTGTTTGGGTGTGGTGGTGGTGGCGTGGAACTAGTTTATCAGGTCACTTTTGATACCGCAATAACAGAGTGACTGCTTACTTTGGGCATTTTCTCTAAACGTTATCACCCTTTACTGGCAGATTCAAACAAACCCAGCACCGTGTTAAATTGTCACACCTGTCACGCCTGTGCGTGGATGTTTCAAGTGGCAAGAGGCGAGTAAACATTGACCAGATATTTAGTTGTGAAACTGTTGTGGCTGGAATAAAGGAATAAATATGGATCTCACTTGGATGGATCGCCGTAAGAAATGTATGCGAGGACCGATGTCACGTGACTACACAAACCCCATCAATATTCATTATATAAATTGAGATGTGATCCAGATTTCATAAGAAAGGGAGGCCTGTTCATGCTAATTTTCTACTTCATAATTTTGCTTTCTACTTGAGCAGCTTTGGCAGTTCAGAATAATCCTTCTTTCTATTAAACTGGGCCTTGGAGCATCCCTTGATTTTATCCAGCGTCTGTGTTAGCTCCTTTCCCCTTCCCTTAAAGCTTGCTTTCTTCTGATTGGCTGTTTCTAGTGAATAGAAGGTTTAAACAGCAGGCTTTTCACACGATGAGATTAAAGTTGATGTGCAAGCATAAAGGTGACACAAACAGGGCGTGTGTCTTAGATGATGACATTGATGACATCACACAGAGCCAAGAGTAGATAAGCTTGTCAGGAACTGAGTATCTGTAGTTTCCGCTTTTGGATAAGAGGGATTATTGTGCATTACATGAAGCTAATGTGGGTTTATTGTGAGCATTGACTGGTTGAAAAGATGGGGGGAAAACATAACAGGCCAAGTGTAGATTTTTTTTGTCTTGGAAATCTTTGGTCACCTCTTACATACTTGTTTGGGACAGCCTGTGCTCAGCAGCTAATTATTAACACGGCTGACATCTCCGCTGTGGTTTTGACCTGGTCCCTGTGTTTCTGATCAATACGGCGAGGATGACGTAAAGTCACCTCTCTCTGCTCTGCTGCTGTGGCTCGACCTGCTTCTTTTCTCCCTCTCCCCTCTCCCATCAGGACTGTGCTGCGACAGCCTGCAGGATCCCAAGGCCCTGATGAAGATGGGTCTGAGCGTGATTCTAGTCGGTCACGTGAACTTTCTGTTGGGAGCTCTGGTGCACGGCGTGGTGCTCAGGCACATCAGCATCAAAAACCAGGACCGTACCATGCAGTACGCCATCGCCAACGTGGTGGCCATCGCATCTGGCATGCTGGTGAGCATTTCGTCACTAACAAGGACAGAGCTAGAGGACACCTCTGTGGAGGGAATTTTAGGAAATCTAATCTTCATTAATAACTGTATAAATCCCACTGTGGCTAATTTAGCTCGGAGAAGCTTGTTGTGCATAAAACACAGTAACATCCAAACAAACACGTGAGCTAAAGCATCAAAAACTTTTACTAGCAGGTAAGGTATAACGATGCCCTGACGATAACAAAGAGAACTGACCTGCAAGACCACATTCAAAAAGAGCCAAAACACCCACAATCCTCCTCTCTGGAGGACTGGTTAAAAAAATGTCATCTTTGCTTCACTCCTGTGATTCTAGAACAGGTTTTAACTATTTAAACATAAATCTTTGGCATGAATACTACTTTTACTACTATCACTAACAATAACGACAACAATAATAATAATGATAAAATATTGCCTTTTGGTTATTATTTATAGTTACGGTTTTCCCAAATACCATATGCTACAACATGCAATATACAATATAAGTAAACATATTCTAGTTTTTCATGCTTTCTGTTAGCTTAGTGATGCTAAAGCTTGAAAATGTGCAACAGACTGGAAAGAAGTTTGCCCTCAGACTAAAAGTTCACTCTCAGTGCTGCAGCCAGTGTAAACTTTCCAGCTGCCACTCCCATTCAGTCAGGGAATAGTCATTTTTACCTGTGTGACTAAAGCTTTATTTGCTTGATTATACTCTGTCACCTGAGTGTCACACATCCAAAACAGTGTGGACGAGTTAAGGTCATGTGGAGCAGTGTGCAGATAAGCATGGTGGTGAGACGCGACAGGCCGGTGCGCGGGTTTTGTAAAGCCGATGGTGATTTTGTGTGTGCGTGCTTGTTTGTGTTCTTTGTGCAGGGTAAGAATTCTTTTACGCGCGTACGTTTTAGTAAAGTATTACCAATGTTGCCTTCCCTCGTGGTGATGACAGCACAGGTTAGAGCAACATGGGGGGAAAAAACAATAGAATTACCTGTTTTTCAGGATTCATAAGTTATAAATCTGTAGACAAATTCACAGCTGTGAAGTAAAAATATACTTTACTGTACTTAAGAAGATTTTTCAGATGTCTTTACTTTACCTTTTCAGCTTTTTACTTGTACTCCCTACATTTTAACCAAGATATCTGCAATTTCTACTCATTGCATTTTCCAAAAAAGTTCTTTACTCCAGGTTTAACGCTTTTGAGGGGGCTATTATTTCCTGACTCTGCTAATGTTCAAACATTAAAGTGATTGGAGGCTAAGGGGGTGGCTGTAGCTCAGGTGGCAGAGCAGGT